TGAAGGTGCGAGGGCAGTGTGGGCAGTGGAGGCGAGTGCGGTGAGTGTAGGTTGGTGCTCCAGGCACTGGTTCGCCAGTCTCTGTGCGATGGATTCGCAAGTGACCGACCAGGCCGATGCGTGAAGTGAAGGTGCGATCGCAGTGAGGGCAGATGTAGTCCTGGCCCTCACGTCGGATGATGGAGGTTGCAGGGGTTGGGCCTGTTGTTGTGTCAGGTTCTGCTGTGATGAGGTCGTGGGCGACAGACGCCGGAGCGGCCGTCGTTGTGGCAGTGATGGAGGAAGAGGAGGAGGAAGGGGAGGAGTGAGGGGTGGTAAGGTCGGTGGCGTCGATGTCGGCTGGGGAGTGGTTAGTGGGTGCACAAGGTGGTGGATTGGGAGTGGGGCTCGGCGGGGTGGATGTGTCAAGGCTGCGGTCAATTCCGCTCTCGTGGATGCGCATGTGGCCGAATAGACCCATGCGATGAGTGAAGGTGCGAGGGCAGTGTGGGCAGTGGAGGCGAGTGCGGTGGGTGTAGGTTGGTGCTCCAGGCACTGGTTCACCAGCCTCTGTGCGATGGATTCGCAAGTGACCGACCAGGCCGATGCGAGAGGTGAAGGTGCGGTCACAGTGAGGGCAGGTGTAGACCTGATCCTCATCACTGGGATCGGGAGAGGTTGGAGAGGTGATGTCGGTTGTTGTGTTGGTGTTGGTGATGTGTGAGACAGCAGTATGGACGGCCGCCGCTGGGGCAGTGGAGAGGGAGGAGGACGACGAGGATGGAATTGGTGGTGCAGGAGTGGCAGAGTTAGTTGGCGGAAGGGAGGAGGAAGAGGCGGGCGGGGGGACGATGGCTGGAGCAGTTCGAGAGGAGCAGTTGGTTCGGAGATGTCCAACAAGTCCGATTCGTGCCCGGAATGTCCGTTGACATCGAGGACACGTTGGGAGTGGTTGTGCGGCGGCGTTGCGGACTGGGCGAAGTTGTGATTTGCGGACTTCACGTTTCAGTTTGGCGGCAGCGATGCGGTTTGCTTCATAGATAGAAGTGCCCTTCTTCACTGTTCTCCTCCATGTCGGACGATCGCCGGCGAGCTCTTCCCAGTTGGCCTGTTTGATTTGCAGGCGCTTCAGGGAGGAATTCAGAGTGTACTTGTATCAACGTTTTTGACCACTTTGGCGGCTAGAACCGTCGCGACGCCTCCGTAGTAGAGTCGTTTGGGTAGTCACTCGTCGACCATGCGCACCAGGTGGCCGCTCCTTCGCATCTGCATTTGTCTCAGCATAATGTAGATGCTGGCGATGCGCGTCCGTTCCAGCACATCAGTGTCGGGGATTCGGTCCTGCCAGTTCAGCCTCAGGATGAGACGGAGACAACTGAGGTGGAAGTGGTTCAGTCGGCGTGCCTGTCTCGTGTACACCGTCCATGTCTCTGCTCCGTACAGTAACGTCGACAGGATGACGGCCTTGTACATCTTCAGCTTTGTGCTCAGTTGGAGACCGTGACGATTCCAAACTGTGCTCTTTCGAGATCCCGCGAGCGACTTCGTCATCGATCATGGTGTTGCGGGAGGGGGTACTGCCAGGTGCGGGAAGTTCTCCACCACTTGCAGATAAGTTCCGTTTCCTCTGATTTCCGGCGGCGCTATGGGGGCTGTGGATGAGTTGGCGGCGGTTGGTGCATCACCACCGTCTTCTGCGTGTTGATAACCAGCCCAAAGTTCTCGCAGGCGGCGGAGAATAGGTCCATGCTTCGTTGCATCTCCACTTCTGAGGTGGTGTTCAGGGCGCAGTCGTCGGCGAAGAGGAGTTCGTGCACGGTAGTTGTGGATACGCGCGATTGGAAGTTCATGCGCCGTTGATTCAGGAGATGACCGTCCGTTCTGTAGGCGATGCGGATCCCGGGGCGTTCGTCGCGGTAGGCGTCCATCAGCATGGCAGAGAACATAAGACTGAAGAGGTTAGGCGCCAGCACACAGCCCTGCTTCACTCCGTTGGTCACTGCGAATGCCTCTGAGACAGCTCCGTTGTCCGTGACTCGCGCCATCATACCGTCGTGCAGCTGACGCACCATCTGAGTGAATCGCTCCGGACAGCCGAATTTCTGCATGATCTTTCACAGTCCTTCACGATTCACCGTGTCGAAGGCTTTCGTCAGGTCCACGAAGGTAGAGTATAGGTGGGTCCGCATCTCCTGGCACTTCTCCTGGAGTTGGCGGGCTGCGAAGATCATATCCATGGTCCCACGATGACGACGGAAGCCGCATTGGCTTTCCGGCAGAAGGCCCTGTTCCAGATGGTTATTGAGGCGGTTGAGCAGGATGCGAGCGAAGATCTTCCCGGCGATGTTCAGTAGGGAGATGCCGCGGTGGTTGTCGCAGACTTGGCGATTCCCTTTGCGCTTGTATAGGTGCACGATTGTTGCGTCCTTGAAATCTTGCGAGACTTCACCCTGACGCCACATCTCCTGGAAGAGCGCAGTCAGGTGATCCATCAGTAGGGGACCTCCGTGCTTGTAGACCTCAGCAGGGATTGCGTCCGATCCGGGTGCTTTCCCGCTGGAGAGCTGCTACACGGCCCTGATGGTTTCCTTGAGAGATGGCGGGAGATCGAGGTCCGCATTCGTCTCCATTTGCAGCAAACGCTCGATGGCGGCTTCGGAGATGACGGAAGGGCGGTTGAGGACGCCTCGGAAGTGCTCGGCCCATCGCTGCAGAATTTGCGTCTTCTCAGTCAGGAGAGTGCTGCCGTTGGCGCTGAGGAGAGGAGCGGTGCCCATCGTTGGCGGATCGTAGACAGCTCTGATCGCGGAGAAGAAGTTCTTCCATTCGTTGCGGTCCGCGTACCCTTGGATCTCCTCAGCTTTGCGGGCAGTCCAGGCGTCCTGCATCTCGCGCAGTCGTTGCTGAAGTTGTCGGCGACTGCGGTAGAAGGCAGCTTTGTTATCCTCCGTGGGGTGATCTACGTAGGCTTTGTGTAGGCGGTTCTTCTCGGCAAGCAGATTGCTGATGGCAGCGTCGTTGTCGTCGATCCAGTCCTGGTGTTGGCGGGGAGCGCGACCGAGGACGGCGAGCGCCGTCGACTGGACTGTGTCACGCAGTGGACACCAGCGGTTCTCCACGGAGGCGGTCTCGGCAGCGGCGGCGGCAGCGATAGGAAGGTTGTCTAGCCGCTGAGCTAGCTGACTGCTGAAATGGAGACGGTGAGCAGGCAAAGACAACAAAGCAACATTCAGCTTACCTGGGGGTCGCTTACCTTGTGGTCTCCTGCGAGGCTGTAGGCGAATACGTATATTCGAGATGACGAGACGATGGTCGGTTCACCTGTCAGCACCCGCGATCGCCTTCGTCACCAGCACGTCCCACTGATCTCGCCTCCGGACGAGGACATAGTCCAGCAGGTGCCACTGACGCGACCGAGGATGCCTCCAGGTGGCCTTCTCTCACTCCGACAGACAGAAGAAGGTATTCGTCAGGGTGAGGCGGTGTTCTGCGCACGTGCGGAGGAGAAGCAGGCCCCGCGGAGACCGTGAGGACCCAGCACTCCCCTCCAGGCTGTATGGTCTGTGCCGACGCGGGCGTTTAAGTCACCAAGGATAATCAACTTGTCCGCCTTCGACACAGTCGCCAAGAGGGCGTGCACGTCCTCGTAGAATTTGTCTCTGACGGCGTCGGGGTTGGTCATCGGCGGAGCGTAGGCGCTGATGATGGTGGCGAACTTGCCTCCTCGCCGGAGGGGCAGACGGAGGCTCATTAGGCGGTCGTTGATTCCCTGCGGCAAACAGGGCAGTCGTCCCACGATGTCGGTCCGGATGGCGAAGGCGACACCCGCGTCTCGTAGCTCTGCCCTGTGTCG